TGATCTGATCTGCAGCTTCTCTGCAATCCTGAGTGGCAGCAGGATTTTTTTTTTTTTTTCCCCATCTGGGTCTGCCTGCCCAAAACCTGGCTTTCTCAGTGAGGTGAAATGCTTTTCCATCCACCCAGCAGTGCTACCTGGAACTGTCAGAGCAGCCCAGAGGGGAAGAGCCCTCGGTAGATTGGCAGCAGATGGTGCAGCACACAGCATCACATCAAATCCTCAGGGCCATCCTGGTGCCCCAGATTCAGCAGTGCCATCATTCTCCTGCCTTGCCCACTAAGGAGAGATGGTTCCAAACCCTGCAGAAAAGCAGAGCATGGTTTAATAACAGAGAAATGTAAATTGAGCAAGCAGCACGRGGCCTGACTCCCTGGCAGAGCACCCCCTCCCATGCTGCTGCCTTCCCACGTGCTCTCCTTGTTCAGCAGCTCTGCGAGCAGCATCAGAACTGGGTGTGCCAGCAGGTTCCTGTTGAGGAAAGGAAACTAGAAATCCTCCAGAAATCAGGGCTGTCAACTCCTCGAGGTTACTAAAACAGACCAAGGACTCAGTTGCCCAAAGAGGCTGCAGAAGCACCCCCACCACGTGCTTTTWAAACCCATCAAGGTGGAGTGAAAAGCCTGGGTCATTCTGTCTCCTYGCTCTCTTCACCCCCTGCTCTATCTTTGCAAGGCCACTCTCCACCACTGCTCCCATCTGACTTTACCAGAATTCAGAAGGATCTGAGCAGAAGCTTTTCTGCAGGGTTTTTTTGGTTTTTTTTCCCCAGCACAAGGTGTTTTATGGGAAATAAAACACCTTGAGGTGTTCCCTTTGAGGTGGKAACAGAAAGGCTCCTTGTGCAGGAATCCCACTGGAGGTGGGGAAGGGCAGGACACCAAGGGCTGCATTCAGCCCTCCAGATTTGATCAGCTGAACTGTTTTACCTCACAGAGAACYGTGGCCTTTGTTGGGTATGTGCTGCATGCCAGGCTTGTCATTCAGCCAAGCCCAGCAGGAATCAGCAGGCGTAAGATTGATGCACCTGCTAATGCAAATCCCAAAATYTCCTGGATAATGAGAGCGAGCACAACCATCAGAACCTCCAGGGAGAGCCATAAAAACCTGTCCCTGTRTCATCATCGGTTCCAGGAAACAAAAAATGCATCAAGGTCTATCAAGTCGCCTGCACACACACTYATTGGCCTTCTAGGTGACTTTCTATGAAGCTCCTATTTTGAGCAGTGATCAATTATGCATTTCAAGCCATATGGCACCTTCATTCCAGAAGGAAGGCATTTTGTCTTGAAATATGTAAGCTAGAAAATCTGCTGCATCCTGACAAAAATGCAACATTGCCAGTTACTCACAGAAGCAGAATCATTAAGGAAAAAAAAAAAAAACCAACAAGGTAAGTTTAGTCAGACATCCAGTTTTCACCAAAATACCTCTGAAGAGGAAATGGACAACTGCATGTGCACTTCCAGTCTTCTTTTAAATGAATCTGAGACACAGCTTTGATTGGGAAACCTGATCCAATATACAACATTCCCAGTTTAGAAAGATCTTTTCCAGAATGGATTTCCTCCAGGCACAAAATCATTGAACTCCTCTGGGGTCACTGGATAGATATGCTACAGACATGTCAGCACTCCTGCACACTAGCAGAAATATCATTCCCATCCTAGGAATTATAGATGAGAAATGTAGAAAAATACTGCTCTCCAGTGGAGCCAGAACACCCAAGGCACTTCTCAGAGCAGCAACAAGTGATGCTACAGACATTTTCTGTATGGCAGAGGCTGTTYCTTTTCTCATAGCCTCCTACAAYCCAGGTTTCATTCCAGAGGCTCAAYAAAAATARTGTTGCCTCTCAGTTCTCTGCTTGGAGTGAGGCAACAATCAGGTGAAATTTAAGAGGTGCTTTAACTCTAGCTGCCCTCACCTGGTTAAGCCAAAACCAAAGGCAGCAAATTCAGCAACAATCCCTCCCCAGCAGAGGCACAGCCTCACTCTGCTCCTACAAAGGACTTTGGACCATGGACCACTTCCAGAGCAAGCGCACGAGGCTCTCTTTGTGTGGGCTTTTTCTGTGAAAGCACACCCAGAGCTCTGGAAATGTTTATTAAACCCTTTCTTCCTGGTTCTGCAGGTCAGTGTGGTTGTTTGGAGRGATACACCTAAAGCTCAAGGTCTCCCAGGAAGACGGAACGATGGTTAACTCGCAGCAATGTTCTCTCTGTAAATAACTGCTGTGATCAAGGTTAAGCTCTTTGTGGTTGAGTGGATTTTAATCTGAGCAAAGAATGTGTGGGCAAAGCTCTGCTGATCCAGAGCCCTCCAGGGACTCCCTGGGACGGATCCCAAGCAGCTGGGTGCCTCATTAGGGTGTGAATGAGGCTTTGCTGCAGAAAAGCTACAGGAAAGACAATTACAACTCGCTGGCTTATTGATTTCTATTGCTATGGCAACAGCTCACACAGATCTTCACTCCACACTTCCCCCTGCTTCGGGCTATCCCTTCCACACCTGTGCAATGACATCCAGGYTGGCAGTCTGTACGTCAATCCCAGCTGAACCTCGATTCCCACTGCTTTCCCCATCTCCAGGTCGCAGGATCTGTCAGCAGGTGGAGCTGGCACAGCCAGCCCCTGGCAGGCTGCTGGCAAAAAGATTGATGCACTGGTGTGGGACCACTCCCACAGCACAGCAGCTCATCAAATCCACACAGATCTGCCAGGAAATCAGTGTCCCTGACAAACTGCCTCCCCTGGAGCACAGAATCCTCAGTTCAGCCTTTCCAGAATACAGATTTTTCCCAATTTGGTGACAGGCTCCTGGAGAGGTTCCTCTTTGGGTTGGCTATGAACCTGCTGCTTTCATTTAGCTTAAACCCGGCTGTCAGTTTAAAGAAGCACAAACCTGGATACCRAAGTAATGCTAAAATAAAGGGGTTTCTAATGGAAAGGTTTTAATTAATGATCTGTATGTTGGAATGGAATTAACTGAAGAGCATTGTGGGAACTCTCCCAACATGACACTGGTGTTGTTGGGACTTGTCCCATTGCATAAGTTGGAAAAATCATTTGACCCCAGGTCTGGCATTAATGGGTTTTCCTCACCACTTCTCAGCTGCCTTAGATCCCAATGTCTGATGWTCCTCAGCAGCTCTGAGCTTACCTTACAGCTCCACTGAACACATTCTGTTCTGCAGCCAGTCCTTACAGCCAGGAGAGATGTGCCTCTGAATTTTCAGCTATCCACTCACAGCTCTTGTCCCGGCATGAGGGGACAGCAGCTGACTCACTGTGCTGGGAGCAGGATGAAATGTGCCCATGGATCTGGACAGGATGAGGATGTGATTTTAGGGTTGGTGAAAGGTGCAAATCTCTCACCCCCACAGTCCCTATGAGGGTGGCAATCACTCAACACCACAAAAACCTTTCCTCTGTTACAACCCCAGGACAGAGCAGGAATCATTGTCTCAGGAAAAACACAGATGGAACTGGTGAAGGAACTGCTTGGCCAAACACAGGGCAGAGCAACATCCAAAAAATGAAACTACCACTGATAACAGCCCAGATTACTCCCCCACCACCGGTGCATTCCTTCAGACCCACCAGGAATTCACTTTCCCTTRTAATATTCAGGGAGCACAGGAGCATGAAATTTGATTTCTTTCTTCTGAAGATGCTGGAGATTATTTTCATTCTAAAGAAAGAAAGCTCTTATTCAGTGGTTTAATATAAAGTCCTTTAGTATCTGTAGCAGCAACACAATCTCTGCTTTCTTTTCTATAAATGTACTAATCTCTGCAAAGGATATAATTTGAAGAGTAGAATGAAGTGGAATAAAAATATACAGCAGAGGCAAATGTCCTTTTCARATAGGAACCTGCACTCTGTTCCATCAGATAGACAGAGCAACAATTTAAATCTCAGCCCCAACCATCAGTAAGAAGAGCAGAAAAGGTTCTTTCAGCCTTCCCCAGAACTGGGGATGAGCAGATGCACAGGGGAGAGAAGCAGAAGCAAAAGCAGACAGCAGGGGAGGTGAGATACAGCAAAGAGAGGACACCAAATAAAGAGGGAAGCGTTGGAGGCTGCCTTGGCAGACAGAGTGTGCATGACTGTCTGCAGGCCCTGACCCTAAATGCCAGAGCCAGACACACAGAGAGAGGATTCACTGGGTTAAAAACAAAAACAAAAAGAGCAGGGGTAACAGGGCAGAGCATACAGTGGAAAATATAGCCAGTAGATTTATAAATTTACTGCCTGCTTGAAATTTCTAGGGGGCTCAAAGGCCAAATTATTTCTGCTTGAACTCAACATTAATTAAGAAAGATTCAATTGCATTAGAGCATGCAACTATTCCACTATTCCCAGTTAAATGATGGAAAAATTAGGTGAACACCTGCATGATAAATAACAGCAGAATCACTCTCTGATGGGTGTCTGGAACTTGAAATACTCTCCCAACCATGATGGAAGATTAAATGACTGAAAAATCACCCCACCCAAGGACTCCCACAGTGCTCAAGTACCTGCCACAGCAGGGTGAGATCACCCCAGGGATGGGGTCTAATACCTGTATATAATAAAAAACAATTTTWAAGTAAACAACAGCTTTATTTCCACCTGAAAAGTAACTGCTGTGAGCAMCAGTGCTGCCYACATAAGCTTAATTAGTAGTTCAARACCTACACAATAAAGGATTGTTTGGTTTGGGTTATTGTCCTCTTAAAATAAGACTTCACTCTTCTTACAGAGACTTGGAGAACACTTTGGGCTATAACTGTTTTCCTGCTAGAGAAATTAAAAGAAAAAAAGTTAAGAAACACTTGTGCAAAGCAGAGAAAGGCAGTACTTTTGCTCATTTAAAAAAAAAAAAATCTTATTTTGGGAAAATTAAGGAAAAAAAAGGCTCTTTCAGAAAACACTTCCTATTGCAATATGAACAGAATGTACAATATGTACTACATTAAGAAGCTTTCCCTTCATGAGGAGCAAAGTTGTCTGTCATCACAACTTCTCAGGTTTTTCTTCTGATTTCTCATTTATCAGGTCTTTAAATCCCAATTTTTCCAGTGGTTCATTAGCCATAAGTTGCCTAAATAAAAAAAGAAGAAAACAACAAAAGAACATTTTAGAGAACACAACCAATAATAAAGAGAACAGCAGCATTTTCTATTTAATTTACTATTATTCACCCAAAACAAATSCAAGACATCTATACAGAGTGACTGCTATTTAGCAAGACCTCAGAAACTTCAGTTTTAGAAAAGAAGCATTCAGGGATTATTGTTTTTTTCTCCTTAATAGTGGTTTTCCAATTAAATGTGTTGTTTCCTGATTTTAGGTAGTGAGTAAGAGTTTCCTCAGAAACTGACCTGAGTCCTGGTTATCTTTAATTAACACATTGCATAAGAGCTTCCTAAAATTCTACCAATGCCATTTACATTTTCAAGTGAATACGGTTTTGAACAGCGTTTGTGGTGCCACCGAACTTTGCTGTAGTGATTTTCAAATTTGTTTTTAATCTGCTTTCCTCACCACCAGCCCATGCAGTGTATTTCCCCTAAATATAGGGAAATTTATGCATTTCCCACAGTTCCCTGACTTCCCCTTGCACAGAAAGCATTGCAAAGCAATACATGAATGGAAACATCCCTGGAAAACCAACCACCAACACTCTCTTCACTTGAACKGAGCAACAAGTTAAACTTTTAACTTGCCATCTTGAATCAATTTCTAAGGAGCTAACAGGCAAAATTATTCCCACTTGAACTCAGTTTTAGTTAACTCTGTTGCGTTAGTGCATGTAAGAAAAATACCACTGGCTCTGATAATTCATGGTTAAGTTACACACAACACTTTGAGCGGTCTGGAAGACCTACTCAGATTGAGAATACCAGGCAGGAGAGCAAAGTRAGGGACGAGTTAAAAGTTTAACTTGTAACCACAGCTAGGAAAAAAAAAAAAAAAAGCTTCACACTGGCCGTTGTGTAGGGTGGAAGCTGGCCAGGATAACACGCAAACCACAAGCCGGGTAAGCTGCTGATGCCACACGGGGCACCTTTTCCCTTCATGGCCAAACAGTCCCCGCTGTCCCCGCGTGTGGCGGTGTCACTCGCCTGTCCATGCGACACTCCAGGTAGGCCATGGCGCTCTGCCGGCACGCCGCGCTCTCGTAGCCGCTGTGGCGGAGACACTCCATGAAGCGCTCCTTGAAGGCGCTGCACTCCCCTGTAAAACACACAGCGAGATCCGTGCTCGGGGGTGGCTCTGGGGTGGCCCGGGAGTGGCCCGGAGGTAGCCCAGGACCGGCCCGGGGGAAGCGGGGCAGGCCCGGCGCTAGGCCGCGGTACCGCACCGAAGTGATCCAGCGGGAACGCGCCCTTGTCCGGCGGCCGCGGCGTGAAGCTCTTGGWGCTGAAGTTCATGGCGGTGGACATGTCGCCGGCGGAGGGTTGGACACGGTGGCTGTGGTCACTCTGCCGGTCACTCGCCCGCTCGCTGTGGTCACTCGCCCGCCCGTTCCCGCCGCCGGGGGGAGCCGCACGCCGAGCGCATCGAGCGGGTCACGTGATCACCGCCGCGAGCAGGGGGCGGGGCCTCGCCGCCATGGAAACGGCGTCGCCGTTGCTATGGCAACCAAAGCCGGCGGGAGCGATGCGCGCGTTGCCATGGAAACGACGCCGCCCGCCATGTTGGGCCSGGCCCGCCGGCCTTCAGGGMTCCGGCAGCATCCGCGAAATAAACSGATTCCYYYKCAYAAAACCCGKGTTAGAGCCCGCATTCGCCTCTGAACGCTCCSGATGGTTCTGGTGTTTGTCCAKGGYTTTGATGAGCCTCGTGGGTCSCTTCCAGCTCAGGGTATTCTGTGATTCCTTTCTGAGAGTGATGGTCGTGGGCTGTCTGTCTGTGGAGGGATCGGGAAAATCGGTCTGTCCCTGGCATTTGTACATTGGGAAATAGAGGGGGAAGAGCCAAACGTGGGGTCTGGTGTCAGCAAACCCCCTCACACAGGACCCAGCCTTATGGAGTCTTTCCTGTTTCTATCCAGGGCTGAGGTCCGGCTCCTCATTCCCTCTGCCCAAAGAACAGATTCCTCACCAGGCCCTGCTGAGCTCTGGGTCTTGACTTAAAAGCCCATTTTGTGTGCCCAGCTGTGGCTGGTGTGCGATCCCAGAGCCCTGGGGATGCAGGATCAGCTCCCTTGGAACCCAGCAGGGTTTTGGATGGGCCACCCCCATTCTCAATCATCACCACCCATTGTGGCCAAAATGTTGTTCCTCATCCCCTGTTAATCCTCATGGTTTAAGCTGAGCTCAAACCCAACAGAGAGCACTGAGTTGATGCCTCCTACAAGCAATGGGAGAGCACACGGGTTCCCATCATGTGGTATAAACGCTGAAGAGATCTGTAAAATCAAGCAGGTTTTGGCAAATGTTTGAGAAATAGCGACCTTCAAGATCCTCAAGATGTACAACAAAGAAAAACAGCCCTTTTGCCTGCAGGTTTACAGCACAAGCTCTGCAGATTCACAGTCTCCTTCATGAGAAATAGATTTAATTTAACTCACCGAGTGTTAACTGTGGATTATGCTGGTATTTTTTCTTCTTTGCCCATAGCTGCACTTGGTTTAAGACAGTATTTTATCTGTTTTAAGTTGATTTTCTTTCAATTAAATGACTGAGCTAAGCAGAAAGAATTCAACGCTGGGAAAAAAAAAAAAAAAGAAATAGCTTCAATTTTTAAGGACACCCATTATGGAAATATTAACTGCAGCTCCGTTTAAAGTGTCTTTTGTTTATGCTTTGATTGCTTTCTTATTACAGTATTGAAATTGTAAATGGAAAATTACACCATGTTCTATTACATAACCAACAGGTTTGCACAGCTTGAAATATAAGGTTTTATTATTAGGTTTTCAGGGCTGTGAACAATAGATGGGTTTTACTATACAGTAAATAGCACTTTTCCACTTGACTTCGTTACAACACTTAATGGGAATAGTGAGATACTCCTCTTTCATAAATACACACAGAAAACTCTCTCCCAGATTTCAGACAACTGAGCAGCAGGGAGGTAATTTTGGTTTGTCTGGACAAGTTTAACTGAATTGTCAAGGCACTTGGTTTCAGCAAAATGCCCAAATTACGTTCCTTACCTTCTGTCACAGTGGTTGACTTGCTGATTCCCCATCTGATGAAGGAAGAAGTCAAAGGAAAAAGATGTGCTGAGATGGCACAGTGGAGTTATCCCCAGACAGACAGCAACAACCCTTTGCAGTTCTGTTTAAAACCTTTATCTGGATGGTGGAATTAGGTGCACCCTCAGTGAGTTTGTAGATGACACCCAACTGCACATGAGTGTGGAAAAATTGTTTTCTCAAACATTGGAATGGGCTGCCAGGGCAGAGATGGAGCCACCATCCCTAGAGATATTTAAAAGCCATGTGGCACTTGGGGACATGATTTTAGCAGTGGCCTCAGCTGTGCTGGGGGAACAGTTGGACTCAATGATCTTCAARTTCTTTTCCAAMAAAAATCATTCYATGATTCTCTGCAAAAGCTACATCAACTTGCTATATTTTATTATATCCAAATGGATTTTTTTTGCCTATTCATTAACTCAGCGTTTTTTGGAGWCTTAAATGTTGTTACTCAAATTCAGGGCAAGTATAGTAGCAGGTGTTTAGTTATTATTACTTAATGTTTTTATTGAAAATTCCAGTTGTATATTCTAGAATTTCCTTTAAAGGTGCAGGTTGTCATGCAATCTAATACACATGCTTTAGCAATTTAGGATATATTTTTCCCAAGGAGATCAAATGAAACCCCCATTAGATAATCATTGTGAAGAAAAAAAAAATCCTCATTTGTGGATTAAACCAWCCAGTTCCAAAAGAACTCAACAAAAACAGAGCCACAAAGAGCAGTGCCACAAACAGAGAATTAAATGCTTTTCACACGTTACCTTTCAAAGGAGTGAGAGACTTTGACAGCATCAGGGAAATCTGAAATAGCAGCTTCAGTGAGAAGGTGCCCATTGTACAAGGGAGATCAGCTAATTCSTAAGGCAGGCAGTGTTTCACACTCTGGAGTCCTGAGCCCCTGCCAAAAATCAGAATGCTCAAATTAGAAGACTTCCCAAACTAGGGAAAATCATGGATCTTGCTCTTTCAAGTTACACAGCTTGATAGACTAAAAAAAAGCCAAAAATCCTTTGCTTGAATCAGAGCTCTTCATGATTAATTATGGACTAAAATGACATTTTAAACTCTGCTTTTCCAGTGTTGCCAGACAGTGCTGAAAATTTGTTCTACTATTGGTGTTCAGCCATCATCTGGACAAACATCACTTCAGAAGGAGTTATTACACACTCACCATTACCTTTTGGAAGCACCAAGTTGAATAATGCTTCAAAGAACTTTTATTCATTTTYAYGGGCAGGGTAAAGTCTGTGACTTCYATTATCTTCYCTCTCACACCACACTGCCTCCTTTAAAAGCCTGCAGACTCAAATTATCAGGTAGTTAATTGGAAAATAATTTATTGACAGGCCACGAAAGGCTTGGAGCAAAGCACTAGGAGATTTCGCAGCTTGACTTGGGATACCTGCAGGAAATTAATGAGTTGAACAAGACCAAGCACATTCAGATGCTGGAATTTGTGCCCTTGAGACTGCTGTTCCCAGCCCAGGCACAGAACACACCTCAGAGAAACATCCTTCCAGGATCACTCATTCCTCCACCTCTCCTCTGTGAGCCAGCTCTTACATAAGGCCTCTTGCTACATCGCTGCCACAGGCTGTTGTAAACCATTTTTCTCCCTTTTAATTCAGGTTCCTAGACGAGGAAAAATGCAGAATATTGCCAGAATAGTCTGGGGAATGGGGATTTCTGTTGTGGGTGATAAATGGAATATTATTGTTTAGCASTTACAGGGAAATCGTAGTTTCATGCCAATAAGGTCAGGGCCTTAAATGTTATGTGCACTACAAAGATGTACAGAGTGATRGAGTGATAGCTCATTTTCTGTTATTAATGAGCCAAAGCCTCATCAGGTTAGAGAAGAACATTATGGAAATAGCAACGCTGCACTGAGAGGCGAAACAAACCTTCATCTGAAATTGCTCATTGCAGTTCTGGTACATCTGAATCCACATCTCCACCTGCATCAAGAGAGGGGCCTAAAAATGAGATGCTGGGACCCTGGYTCTGTAGATACCAACTAATTCTCATGATATGCCTCAAATTTCTCTTGGATTAATACAATTTGTGCAATACTTTGTTGAGATTGACTGAAGCCAGAGACCCAGAACAAAAAATCCTTGGAGCTATGTTGAGGCATTTCATTTATCAGTTGTATTTTTAAAATCAACTCTTCATAACCTGACCTACTCAATATTGACTTCCCAGGTCAGGCTGGCTTGATTTGTTGGTGTAAATGTAGATCTGGAAGATCATGGTCCTAGCTACACTTGCAGGAGATTTTACTGCAAATATTTTTTGTAGAGATGCATATTCAAAAGTACATTMCCAGCACCAAAGCCAAGGATGTCCCATGTATTTTCTCACTGAGTGAGACTCATGAAGGAATRGCATCTATTCAGTACCAGAGGGAGGCTTTTAAAGGCAAAAACATTCCCAAGAATGGTAAATGCTTAATACAAGTGGGAAATACTCTCACCTGTATTGAGTCTGTGCACAAGGACAATGCACTAATCTCATGCACAGATATTTTTATTTTCTTCTCCCAATGACCAGACTCATCACATACAATCTTTCAGCTCAGTATATGGGGGAAAAAAAACAAAACCAGGTATCTCTTTAAAAAAAAAATGCAGTGAAATAATAATTTTAAGAAATATTTTTCAGGAGTCTTTCTTCCCAAAGTAGATTTGTGACCCACACTGATTCATCAGATAAATGAAAAGAAATTAMCAAGTCATTTGTATAAAAATAAGCTTAGTGAACACTTGAGATACTAATCACTACCCTGCAGTGATCCTGTAAAAATACAGATTTGCAGGGTGGGAAGAAGTGGGTGTGATCCAATAAAACAATGCAATAATGATGAAAAATTGAAAGAGGTCAGAGTCKGAAAGCTTTTGATTTCTTTTTGCACTGGCATTTGTCAAGGCAAGCAAAATCCATTAGCAAGGAGCAGCCTGAGTTTTAACACATCTGAGTCTTTAAAAATGTTAATGTTTAATAGGGTGTGCTCAGGCTTTATATATCCCTGATAACAATGCACGGGCTGATAGGCATCTCTGAAGGCTGTAAATCAGTGCAGGGCCTTGCAAGGCACACAAGGTRTTCATTCTCAGGGTTTATTATGTTACAGCACTCATTGACTGAATTATGGCCTCGTAACAAGCCTTTCCCTGCATTATCCRATGGTTTCTGTGGCATTGTTTAACCCAGATCCCATCAGGAGGTGATGTGACCTGCTCCAGACATCAGGTACAGCCTCATTTTCCAGGAGGAATTGATTGAGCTGTGCCCACAAAATGTGCTCACTTGAAGATGGTTCTGCTCCAGGCTGGTAAAGAGACAAAGATGTGAGCAGRGAGCAGCATTTTCTCCCCAGTGCTGTTGGGATGCCTCACCTGCAGGTCTGTAGCTGTGGGTTGTGCTCAGGATGCWTGCTGGAAGTGAAGGGATGTGAGGAAGAAATGAAGATGAGGGCATCACACAAGCTGTATTTTAAAACTGCAAAGATTTTCTCCCTCTGGAGAGCTCATCCATCATTTCTCCCAGGCTGCAGGTCCATGGGCTCACTACACTGTCACCAGGTACAGCCTGAAGCTTCAAACAGATTGGAAGTTCTTGGGAAGGTGCTCTGGCAGCAGCCACCTCTACTCCAACAGGGCTCTGTGGAAACAGAAACAACAAATTTCCTCCTTTGGTACCCAAGTGGCCCCGTGCAGGGCTTTTTCCTCTCTCTTACTGCATATATAAAGTCTCAGTAGTCACACCATTTGCTCAGAGAAGAATCTGTCAGAACAGGAAATGTCTGGGAGAGGAGGGTGCAGGCCAAGACCTCACAGTTGTGCAGCAAATCTTGAGATGGACATGACCATCCATTGCCCTCTTTTCTTTGTCCACCCTGCCTGGTCCCCTCTTCTGCACAGGAAAATGAAAAACTCCCCTCTGATAACTTGKAGAGCAGGCAGACGTGCAGGCACCTCATTCATGTCAATCTAGTTAGACTTTATTGATTCCCCTTGCCTTTGGCTAATGTACTTTTATTATTATTAATAAATAATCATCATTTTTTCCATCAGCAGAGCCTGCACCGGGGAGCCTTGGAGAATTCTAGCGAAAGAATTATTAAACAAAAGATTTCTAAAGGGTTGAACAGCAGCACAGCTCAGTAATCTTCCAGAATCTTCAACTGGGGAGCAAAATAACCCCACTGGAAAATCTGTGAGAGCATCAAATCTGCTCCTTCCCCCAGAGCCAACATTTCTAAGGGTGGCTCCCTGYTGATGGTCACTTGTGCTGTGTTGTCACCCCCTGAGGATGCAGAGGGTGGGGGTGGCTCTTGGGGAGCTGTCACAGGGCACAGAGTTGGGACCCTGCCCTGCCAGAGGACCCTCTGACCTCTTTCAATTTTTCATCATTATTGCATTGTTTTATYGGATCACACCCACTTCTTCCCACCCTGCAAATCTGTATTTTTTTACAGGATCACTGCAGGGATGTGAGTCAGTACCTGCAGGGCCGGAGCTGTCTCCACGTGCTCCTCCTGGCTGGCAGCTCCCTGCTCCATCCTCAGTCTGATCCTGGCTCCTCCCAGCTGACAGGGATTCGGGATCTCTTTCCCAATCTAAACAGCCYGGAGGGGCAGTTTCTCCTGAAGGATTTCATGCAGCTGTTCATAAACAGAGAGAGTCATCACTGAATCCTGAGCCAGGCATGGCCATCCAGGCACAGAGCCCTGAAAACTGCAAAATAGTGACTGAGGGGGTTTCAGGGGAATTTTGGGATCGATGGTAGAGCATTTTGGGACAAAGGCAATAACAATGCTAGCAATGCACACACTGTGTCACTCAAGGAGGTGATTTTAGTAAAGGGAATCAGAGCTGTCTCCTGTAAAGAGATCTGCTCCTGTCAGCAATCCTGAACCAGCACATCTTGGTGCAACCACCATTCCAGCTTCTCCATGGCCAGTTTTGTCCTCCCTGAGGGTTTTCTTTCCAGCTGCACCCCAGGCCCTGCATTTCTGAGGGTTTTTCTTGCTGTGTCCTTCTTGCTCCATTGCATCACCAGGGGTCCAGCTGGCTCCTGTGACCTGGCCCAGTGACAGCAAYCCAGCAGGGTCCAGTCCCTGAATTCTGACCCTGAAACCACAGAGAGAACAACATGCCCATAACACAACTTTTCACTGGCAAACAAACACCTTGTCCCAGTGCTAGAGATGAAATAAAAGCTCCAGATTACGATAATCCATGGTTCAGAATAAAACAGGGTGTTTAATTTGGCAGGAAAAGGGAGTACATCTGGTCTRAGTGGATGTAAACAAGGCTGCAGAGTCCTTTTCTCTGTGCAAAGCCACTTCCCCAGAAGGTGTGTTCAGACAGTGACAGGAGGGCTATAAAGGGACCCCGAGATGCTCAAACCCAATCTGGATTTGGACATGGCCATGCAGAATTTCCTGCAGTACCTGGGCTCCAGCTCTCTGCTCTTTTTGGCAGCAGGGCTCTTTGCTCTCCTCTACTTTCTCTCCAGCTCCAAGAAGTCGGTTTGCAATCTGCCCCCTGGGCCACGACCTCTTCCTCTSATCGGAAACCTGAACGTGGTGGACCTGAAAAAGCCGTTCCAGTCACTGACAGAGGTAGGGACCAGAGGAAAATGGGCAATTCCTGGAGTGAGAAACACAGCTGGGAAAATGCACATGTGGTGGTGTTTGCTTTGTGTGGAGGGCAGCCATGAGGTTTGGCATCCAGGCAGGATGATTTTACTTTCAGAGGTGCACACACACATACTTATATTTATATACATAAATATAATACACACACTCCTTCCTTTATGCACACTCAAGTGTAAACTCCCTATCCTACCCATTGCAATCTGCTCCAGATTGTTGGTGTTTTGAGTCCTTCAGAGGCTGCAGGTAGAAGATTTGAGTTGGGCCAGACTCACTGCCACCAGAGCTCTGGGAAGGATGGGTGGATGGAAGGGATAAAGCAAGAAAAGGTCTCAACCCCACAGCAGAGGGCAAGGAGGGGTCCAATGCACACTTATTTCCAAAAATAATTATATTTCTGCAATGCAAAGCACAGCTCTGCCTCCCCAGCCCTTCCCCTGCACACTCTGCCCAGGATTGTTAACGACTTGATGCATGGATTTTATAAGTCTAGCTAAACAAATTGCTTTTTCATAAGCAGCTCCATGGATACTAATATTTCCAAAAGAGACAAAAAAATAAATAAAGCCAGGGGCAATGTTTGTTTCAGACAGTGTCTGCTGTGTTCCCATAGGGACCTGGGACCAGTCAGTGAGAATTCAGATTTTATCTGGTTGCTGTAGAGACAGTTGAGGTGCTGTGAGTGGCCTATCACATGCCCTGTGTGAATGCTGATTACTGGACACCAGGATGGGGTAAAATTGTGCCCAGAGAGCTCCTTCAGCCACTTGAAATCTGCAGTGAGAGGGCAGTGCAGACACTGAAATCCTCCAGTTGGCTGCAGAAGAAAGGGCATCCTGTACTGCCAAAGAGCAGAATTCCTACAGCAGGCACACAGTGCTCATCTCCCTTGATTTATGATGCAGAGGATTGTGTGGAGAGCAGTTTGGATGGGTTTCTGCTCCTGAGCTCCCATCTGATCCTGGGGATGTTTGAGGATGTTGGTATGAAACTATTTCTGAACTATTTTTGGCAGTGCTGGGGGATTTTATGACACAAACACCACGTGAAAACACCGGATTATATTCCTATAAACTACCAAGAAGATTTATTTGGCCTTTCAGGCCTGCCACATCCAATGCTTGTGCTGTTGAGTAAAACAAGAGGCTCAAATGCAAGGAGATGGCCTTCCAAGAGGCTCAAATGGTTTTCCAAGAGGCTCAAATGCAAGGAGATGGCCAAAGGAAGGTTTGGAGCAGCTGTGATTCCCTGCCCCTGGCTCTGTGAGCTGCCAGGGATGAAAGAACCGCTGCTAATGTTATCTCCCAAGCCGTCAAACCACCGTTTGATGAAAACAAATTCAATTTGTCCGCTGTAATAACAGGAGCTGCTTCTAATCTGAAATTCAATTTGTGGAATGTATCTAATGCATAGAAAATGGTAACCCAGGCACATCAGAAACAAGAAGACATTTGGAGTGGATGGCTTGCAGTGTGTTCAAACCAAGTCTGAAATACCAAGTGAATGATTAGCTTGTCAAAGCCACCTTTCTGGGTAACAGATGATTCATATTTAATTTGCTATAAAAGCCTAACGCTCCTGTGACATTATCTATGCTTCCTAGTCGGATTCAAGTTTCTGGTGGCCAGCAAATAATTTCGTGATGACTTCAACACTACCCACCTTGCCATAATTAGAGGCGAGTACTATCCTGAAAGAAAGAGTTATTGTCTGCCTTTGTTTTTGCAGTGTTTGTGGCTTCAGCCTCCAAGGTGTGTGCACACCCTGCTTGCCTCAGGTCACCAGCACTACAATAAACAGGCCTGCCTGCTGCAGCATTCTCTAACCAGCCTCCCAACGTGGTGCTGCTGGCCTGTTGCTGCAGAACACCACAGGAATGCAGTGGCATTTTATTGACTGCCCTGATRGGAGCAGTGATAGCAGACACCTTGTTGTGCAAACAGGGTGCAAGCAGAGATGCTGGCAATCGATAGCTGCTGCTCACTGCTTGGATTGCAGCAGCACCTGGAGACTCCAGGCAGGGCTGAGAGGCTCCTTTTGACTAAAAAAACCACCTAGGGTGGTCAGAACGAGTGTTTGAGTCCAGATCTGGCTTTGAATAAATGTATTTATTCACTCTRACAGCTCTCCAAGATATATGGCAAYGTCTTCACTGTGCATTTTGGACCCAGGAAAGCCGTGGTGCTGGCTGGATAYGAAACCATCAAGGATGCCCTTTTAAATCATGCTGAAGAGTTTGGAGAGAGGGCAGAAATACCCATATTCAGGAAAATTRCACAAGGAAAAGGTAACTGACCTTTTGGTTGGATAAGTTTTGTTCATTATATTCTCACAGCAGAGTATTKTCCTCTTACAGATCACTCTGTGATCTTAGGGGGAACCAAGAAAACCTTACAAATGTTTGTGAACCTCACTGACAAAAGGATGTTCCACCATCATTTCAGGCATTTCATTCAGCCATGGAGAGCTGTGGAAAACCATGAGAAGATTCACCCTGTCCACACTGCGAGACTTYGGAATGGGAAAGAGAACCCTTGAGATCCGAATCCTGGAGGAAGTAAACTCCCTTATCAAGTATTTTGAATCCTACCRTGGTGAGTGTCAAGTGTTTCATCCAGAGGCAGAGAACAGGTCTAGCAGAACAATAAAGATTCATGAACGTTTAACTCTGAGCAAGTGGTATCTCGTGGTTAAAGTTCAGCAAATGCTGCAGTGGGTTGTTGAACAAAGGCCTTAAAACCCCAAAACAGTTCCTTGCTCTGCATTTTGGGTGGGGAATGAGTGTTCTTTGGGAGCTCAGGACTGCATTTCCATAGGAAACCAGACTGAAATGAGCATAATCACATTCTCATTTGTTTTCATTGCTTGAAATACAGGGAAACCATTTGATACGAAAATGATACTCAACAGTGCTGTATCCAATGTCATCTGCTCTATTTTGTTTGGAGAGAGGTTTGAATATGATGATCCRGTATTTCTAACATTGCTGAAGCTGATAAACCAAAACACTAAGCTGTTGGGCTCCCCCATGGTGCTGGTAAGGGCTTAATTTTATATTTTAGCTTTTAGTTTTTTTGGGGGGATATCCTGTTTCCTGTGTTTGTTCTCCTGGCCTCCYACATCTTGCTTCTTGAGAATAAGAACATTATCAGCCAGTCAGCCTGCACAGAATCACATCTGTGGTTCTGTATCTGCAACACACAGATTCCCAGGTCCTGYACTCAGTCTGTGAAGCTTATTAGTAAAAGTAAAAATGCCCCAAAGTCTGCACAAAAGGAACAGCTTTACCCTCTTTGAAGAGCAGAAGCACAATCCCAAACCTGCCTCCTTGAATTACAGAAAGAACACTCTATTTCTGCAGGAGTCCAGGGCTTCTTGGACTGTAAAAGTGGGGAAATTATAGCCTGAAATGTCAGGGCATAGGACAAGGGACCAGCAGTGAGATTCAGATACCAAWATGTGCTCAAAAATGCCACTTCACAGTAAGACTCCTCTTGCTCCACAGTTATATAATTTCTACCCATYCCTTGGATTTCTCTCTGGAGCTTCCAAGACCGTGCTACAAAACATCCGTGAATTGAATGCTTTTCTCCAGAAGCTCTTCCAGGAACACAAAGAAGAGCTTAATGAAAATGACTTAACAGGCTTTGTCGATGCCTTTCTGATGAAGCAAAAGCAGGTACTTTAAAGCTGATTCTCAGTGTCTTTCTGTTCCCTTAGCTCTGACTTATTCTCAGGATTGGTCATCTGTCAGGGGCTGGGAGTGAGTGGAAACAGAAGAGCTGCAGAGAGCAGAATATTCAGAGCTCATACTCACAGTGAGCTGTGCTGTATTCACTCCATGTCCCCACTGGAACTGCTGGTTAAAGGAATTTGGTTGTGGAGACATCCCACATGGGTGGAAGAAGTCACACACAGGGAGGAGATCATCCCAAACCTTCCTGCAACAATGGCACAGTGAAAAAATGTGTGGCAGTAAATGATATGCAGACCTGGGGGTTACACCTGTGCTTGGGAGCACACAAATTCCACACAGTACAGAACAAATGTTTCATTTTCCAGCACATTTAAAGTCACAGAAAGCCAAAATGCTGATAAAAATAGTAACAACACAGTCACACACGGGTATAATTTTCTGTCGAAGTTATGGTGATTCCCCACATGTTTTGAAGGAGTCAAAGAAACCCCACACTGCGTTTGACAATGGAAACCTGGTGTTCACAACCCTGGACCTCTTTGCTGCTGGGACTGAGACAACATCCACAATTGTACGCTGGGGGCTGCTGCTGATGATGAAATATCCAGAAATTCAGAGTAAGGACGACAATCCCTCGTACAATTTGCTGTTGCATGCTTAAGRCTTTGGTTGTGGAAGGGAGTGGAACTCATTCAGTGTTGCCTAGAGTAATTATTGTGAGTGCTCTGAGAGAGATAACAGCCATTGACTTTAGGAAGGAATTTTATTCAGGTGGATTGCAGTAAATCAGCCTGAGTGGGAGAGGCTGAGGGGCAGTCCAGAGTTCCAGTAAAGCTCTTCTGTCGTTATTCACCTGCAGGCTACGGACTTACTGACGTCATTAAAGGTCTCCTCAGGAGCTGATCCTGATCTGRTTTCTGTTGCAGGTTATGGGGTAACAAAGGTGTGTAATGAGAGCCAGGCATGTGATGGATGGTGGTGACTCCATTCAAGCTGCTTTAGCTCCAAACAAACGTGAAAGAACCCCACCATGCCCTGGCTAACCCACTGCTGCCCTCCCCAGATATTTACAGTTTTCCCTTTTCTTCATATCTGCCAGACTAGTAGCCATTTCAGTTGCAAGATGAGATTGTTATCAGCTTTTTAATCCTTCCTTCYCTCCAAGGAAAGATTCAGGAAGAAATGAACCGTGTCATTGAACCAGGAGAGCTGCCTAARCTGGAGGACCGGAAAAAAATGCCTTACACAGAAGCAGTAATACATGAAATACAAAGGTTTGCCAACATTGTCCCCATGGGTGTATCACGATCAACTCCCAGCGATGTGAATTTCCGAGGCTTTGTGATTCCTAAGGTGAGCTCTGAGAATGATGCTGCTCAGATTCCTCACAGTTTTGTTCAAAGCAGATGAAGAAACAGATAAATAACTAAAGACACGGTGATGCATGGTTTAATCTGTGCTGTGACCCTTTGCCTTGGATCCAGGGTAATTATTATAAACATACAATGGGTTGTGGTCTGGTACAGCTGTTTGAATCACGGATAACCAGAGATTTAATTAAATCCCACTGRTTTGAATCTTTCATGTCAAATGTGGAACTTTTACCCCAACACCTTCATTGAAAGATCTGACTCTGTAAGAAAGGAATGTTTTGTGGTCCAAAACCCAAAACAGAAGCTACTGAAAACAGACAGAGCTCCAGTAGGGAAGGGAAAAATTCCCCAGTTCTATTTTTCATGTCTTATTTGCCTCTTCACGTTAGAAAAAGGAAAAGAGTCTGGSTCAAGTAGGGGAATGATCTCCCCTTCCCTGAGTTTCTTTGACCCCTTTCAGGGTACTGAGATTATCCCACTGCTGACCTCTGCTCTGAAGGACGAGTCACACTGGAAAACCCCRGACCAGTTCAACCCTTCCCATTTCCTGGATGCCAATGGGAACTTCATTAGGAGAGAAGCATTTATTCCATTCTCCATAGGTAAGAGGGATGTGGGTGTACCTGGGGCCAGCCTAGTGGCAGTTCCCTTCGATTATTTCAGGAAAATATGAAAGCCAGGGACACAGAACAGAGGAGAAGGGATTTATGATCATTTCTCCTGTCCACWGTTGCTGTAGGTAACCATGTCTTTGGGAGAGCTGGGACACACTGAACTATTTCACATAACTATGAGCTTCTGTGTAGTCTGAGACCAAGCCAGCAGCACCTCAAATATACAAAGAGAAGGAAGGGAAAATTTCCTACCTGAGCAGCCTGCTCCTCCAGACTGTACCTCCAGTTCAGAAGGCCTCAGACATCAACACTAACAATTACAATGCTGATCATTAACTTCTCCCCTGGTTTTTTCAGGTCGAAGGGCTTGCCTTGGTGAAGGACTGGCTAAAATGGAGCTGTTCCTCTTCTTCTCGAGCTTGCTCCGCAAATTTGTTTTCCAACCCCCTCCAGGAGTGGATAAATCAGATCTGGATCTCACTGCAGATGTTGGCTTTACCTTGAMTCCCATGCCTCACCTGGTTTGTGCTGTGCCCTGTCAATGAGCAAACATGCCATTAGAGTAGTGAACACCTCAAGCTTGAAAGCAAATTTAGTTACAGCGGGGAAAAGCTGTCTGTCCCTGAGCTTTAGGGGAAGGAAGAYATTGGGCACTGTCCCTTTTCTCTCATTCATGACATTCTCTCCAAAAGCTCTTGCAGTGTCTGTATAATGCAAACCCTTCAGGCAGCACTGAGTTCTGCTCTCAGAAAYTGAGATTCACTCCTGGAACAGCACATCAGAGATGCTGTTTTCAGGACAGTTYCAAAGAATTTAAATGCCTTCAAATCTCCTCTGTAGATGTAACCCATCAGAGCTCACCCCTGRCAGCCTCCATGGGGAATTTCTCAGCCCAAAGTCCAAGCCTAGGGCAGGGTTGGTTATCGATGGCCCAGCTGGAGACAAGAGACACCCAATGGATCAGGAAATCTCCTGGGGTTGTTGTTGAGCTGAGCCTTGGACTGAGCTCCCATTGTGCCTTATCTTTATTACAGAGCCCCAGACACACGGGTGTAACATGGGCTGCTGCCAGGACCCAGGCACGGGACAGTTATCAGAAAACATCTGAGTGCTTTGGGAAGTTTTTTCATTTACAGTTTGGTTTTTTTTTTTCCAACTCACAGCAGGAACTTCATGCTGAACAGCCTGTTTATGATGGGGCAATGGAGCAGCTTTCTGTTCTGCTAGGAAAGGCATTTCCAGCACTCCCTCAGCCCTCCTGGCTTCATGCTGGCTCTGGCACTCATCCAATCCCTCCCTGGGCCACTTTAGACCCCTGAACTGGCACAAAGGGAGCACCATGGCAGCTGAAGGGCTCCTGAATCAGCTGTGGCAGTGCCAGGGCAGTGGGGCTGGGGATGGGCAGCAGGACTGGCCACCAGRGAGCCAGGACTGGCCACCAGGGAKCCAGGACAGSCTCAACCCYTGCCCCACTGGCACCTCAAGAGCTGCATTTGCTCAGCAGATCCTCTCCACCCTTCACAGGGAGAAAGAATCCTTCAGGGAATGAATCAGCTGCCCTAAGGTTGTAATTTCTCACTCTTTCCACTGTCTGCAGGGTGAGCCATCACCCACAGGCTCCTAATTCCCAATTTCACTCTCAATTAGCAGGTGTGCTGTGATGAACARGGACAATATTGTCCATTTGCCTGAAAATGGGGCAGCTATGGTAAACCYACAACATAAAACTAAAATCACTGTCATCTAAACCTGATCTGTGCTGTGAATGGAAGGAAAGAAAGGAGAAAGAATATGAAGAGRTGACAAAGTAGRGCRGYCTCTGGCCAAGACACTGACTCGATYAGCTCAYATGAGTAAAGGCAGCACTCTGATAGTTGTTCTGCACCATATACCTATCCTGGGGCTGCACTTGGACAGGGGCTGTGCCCCAGCCCAGCTCCAGCTCCTGGGCACAGCTCAGGGAGAGCTCAGCAAGCTCTGCCACGAGGAAGCCTCTGCTGCTGCRCTCGCTTGCGTTTGTTTTGCTGTTGCTCTATTTGCAGTCCAACTGCTGCGAGCCGGGCCTTATCACCTACTTAATCATTAAATATTTTGTTCTCTTGCTGTTGCTCTATCTGGTGTGACAGCATGAAGTTGAGTTCGGGTCAAACTGATAAAGCTGRGCTGCGCCACCTTTAATGCACCCACACGAGAGAGGCGAGCACAGGGCAGCCAGGAGCACAAAGAGTGACCARTGCTCATGGCCACAAACATCTCAAAGGGAATTGCTGAATTTCCAAATCCAGAGAGACACAGCTGCTGTGTGAGGCAGGATGTGGCTTGGCACAGCTCTCTGAGTGTCCCCTAAGAGGGTTCCTGTGTCTCTTGCTCACATGGAATCATCTCAGGATGATCTGAGTTATCCGAGGGATGCGCTGCTGGTCAAGGATGGGACTGGCAGGGATGGCACAGAGATTTGGGGGATTTAAGTCAAAGGATGCAGGGCTGGTGCTCACTGGCCCAGGCTGGCTGGCAGTGGTCACCTTTAGGTGGCTGACACCCAAAGCTCCACGTCCCCACCAGCACCAGCCGGGTCACAAACGGTGGCAGAACTCCATGTGGGCACAAAGGATGGAGGAGAACCAGGCCAGGAGCACCCTGAGGGGCTCGGCTGCCCCAGGAATGCACCCAGAGCAGTGTCAGCCTGGCAGGTGTTCTGTGCTCACCTCTGTGTGCTCAGGCAGGGCAGCACGTAGCCAAACACCAAACACGTACCAGACACATTAGTGAGACAGGAATTTCTTGTCATCGCAAGACTTTTACTTACCTTTGTCATTTTAATGCATTGCACTCAGAGCCTGGCTTG